CCCTAAACCCGGGAAGTTCAGTACCATTGGTTCTGTTTGCAAACAACCTGCAGTGAGCTGGCGTTTGACGGTATAATGCTCCGGCAAGCCCTGAGGGGTTTAGGGCATGGCTCAACTGCACCCTAAGCTCTAAAGCTTAGAATGCTAAAGCGACCATCTCAAACCTTTACAGCCTCAAAACCGTAAGCCCTAAGCACTAAAATCTAAACCCTGAACCCGTAAACCTCAAAACCCTAAACCCTAAACCCTGCCACAGTAGAAGTCCAAAGCTTGGACACCCAAAAGCCTGAATTCCTTAAGAGGAATGCATAGGGAATCCCAGCACTAATTGTTCTTATCAGGTTTTCAACTTTTTGGGGTTTACTATAACCCCCAAACCCTAAACCTCAAAACCCCAAACCCAAAACCCCCAACCCCAAACTCTAGACCCTAAACCTCAAAACCCTAAACCCTAAACCTCAAAACCTCAAAACCCTAAACCCTAAACCTCAGAACCCCTAAACCTCAAAACCCTAAACCCTTAACCCTAAACCCCCTAAACCCTAAACCTCAACATCTCAAAACCCTAAACCCTTAACCCCCTAAACCCTAAACCTCAACACCTCAAAACCTCAAAACCCTAAACCCTAAACCCTAAACCCTCACTTTTTAAACCTCAATCTCAAAACCCTAAACTCTAAACCCTAAACCCTCACTTTTTAAACCTCAATCTCAAAACCCTAAACCCTAAACCCTAAACCCTCACTTTTTAAACCTCAATCTCAAAACCCTAAACCCTTGAAGCTTCAACAACTCAAAACCCTACACCCTAAAAGCGTAAACCCATTGAAGCTTCACACTGCAGGGCTGACAGGTCCACCAAGACGCCGAATACGTCAGGGAGATGAGGAGAAAAGATGACCTTAGGGTTTAGGGTCTTTCGGGTTTAGGGTCTAAGGTTTAGGGTTCAGGGTTTAGGGTTTAGGGTTTAGGGTTTAGGGGTTAAGGTTTAGGGCCGTTTTTGGTCTGAACTGGGGCTTTTGGAGTCTAGAGTTATGGGCCTTATGGAGTTTACGGCTTGCGGGGTTTCGGGTTGCTGGTTTAAAACTTAAACCCTAAACCCTAAACCCTAAACCCTAAACCTAAAACTTAAGTTTGGAAAAAGGGCTTAGGGCTCGGAGCTTGGAGTTTCACGGTGATGTTTGTTTCTTGGGGTTTAGGGTTTAGGGCTTAGGGTTTAGATTTTACGGTTTAGATTTTAGGGTTTAGGGTTTAGGGTTTAGCGTTTAGATTTTACGGTTTAGATTTTAGGGTTTAGGGTTTAGGGTTAGATTTTACGGTTTAGATTTTAGGGTTTAGGGTTTAGGGTTTAGTTTGTGGCTTGGGGTTCCAGCGCTTGAAGGACTCAGGATTTGGGCTTTGGGGCTAGGGCTGTAGTTACACGTTGGAAGCAGGGGATTGAAAGTGTTTGCACGGCCAGGATGTCGGGCACGTAGGGTTTAGGGTTTAGGGTTTAGGGTTCAGGGTTCACGGTTC